GAGTAATTGAGTGAATTACTCAATGGCTTTTGGATTTGGCATTAAAAAAAATTCTAAGATATATTTCAATGCATGCTTGCCTTGAGAATAAATCATTTTATTCCGTAAATAATTTATATCACTTAGTGAAAAATAAACCACTGACTCTGGTTCCAACACAGAAGTTGACAATACTCAGAGTTGTCTGTAGTTCATGCTACATTCTTTATCTGAATATCTGCAATCAAAAATGACCTCCAAATCTAAAACTTTCTGAGCACAGACAATATATTACATGCAAAATATTCCAGTCTTATTTTGTGATGTGCTATACTGAAAAACAGGTGCAAGTTTCCACTTCCTCAAAGTCTTTATGGGAACAGATTCTCCCAGCCTCTTCAACTGTGATAAACTTTGTTTTATGTACAAAGTTATTAAGACTATGTATTACAGAGATTTACGTTCAGGCTGTGTGTATGAGGTATGTACATGAAGCATATGTGAATTTTATGTTTGGATTTGAGTTCCCTCTCAAATGATATCTCACTGTGTTGTGCAAATACTTGGAAATCTAGAACTGAAGCTTAAACCACTAGGTATCCAGCCGGGCAGTGGTGGCACACACCTTTAATCCCAGCACTTGGGAGGCAGAGGCAGGCGGATTTCTGAGTTCAAGGCCAACCTGGTCTACAGAGTGAGTTCCAGGATAGGCAGGGCTATACAGAGAAACCCTGTCTCGTAAAACAAGCAAACAAAAAAATCAACAACAACAACAACAAAAAAACAAAAACAAAAAAATCAAAAACAAACAAACAAACAAACAAACAAACAAAAAACCCCACTAGGTATCCAAATAGGTCAGCAGCAGTCACTATAAACAGTTAAGTTACAAACACAAAGTGGAAGCCACTGGAACCGGTTCCCATTTTGCTAAGAGTAATGAGGAAAGCAAAATAGCAGAGCCAGACTTGGGACCTTGAATTAATATGAAGTAAAATACTTATTATCAAAATGAATGCTGAATGTGGAACTGTTTTTTTAAAATGACTTGGTAGAAAGTTTCACCACAGGAGCCTAAGATTCAATCATACACATGTTACCATAGGTATAATGTCATATCATCATTTATGTTTAAAATAAATATAGAGAAAAGCAGAAGCTATAATACCCAAAGTATATCCAACTCATGGGAACTCGATATGTTATCCTCAAGGACCCCTATCATGATACCATGTCACATTTTAGCAGCTATAACTTCCTCCCACTGCTGTCATCAAGCTGTGTGGTCTGCTAGGTACTTTTAAGAACCAGAAAACTAAATGGATGGATTTACTTTTGAAAGGAGACTGATCCTTAACACATGAGAAGGTCCTGTAAAAAGACTAAGAATAAGATTGGAAATGCTATCCTAGCTTCCTGATTCTTCAACTACCTAGAGGTAAGAAGACAACCACAAAAGCACCAGTCACAAAACACATGAGCAGATGCCAGAGTGTTCTAATTGTGTCTCGCAAAGATGATGCTCTCTTTCCATCTTTTGAGGGTCTTCAACTAGCTTAGACATTACTCATGTCTTTAGCACACTGTGGTCTGGCATGAGAAGGCCTAAATTTCTCAGTTTTCCTTTGGAGCTAGGCAAATATCATTCTGGAGGAGAGTTTTTTAATATGTCAAAGAAACAATTTCATTTCTACATAACTGACCTTCCCCACAAGAAAAAGAAAAACACAATCACATATGGCCAGTACAGTTGATAAATATAGGGGTACAGTGGCAGCCATGAGGTTGTTGATATTTAAGTGATAGCCTTATGTAGAACTGATGTTAAAAAAAAAGTGTTGTCCAGGGAACAAACATATTCTTTTTGATCTTGATAAAGGCATTGAAATCCACTGGGCCTCAGTCTTCCAAAGAATGGTCCTGGAGCTGACATAGCATTTCTGGATGTGCATGACCACAAGTGCATCATCTTTCCTATGCCTTCATCTGTCTAATCTACTGGACGTCTGACCCTCCACAAATATAAAGCAAATTGACTTTAAAGGTCCCTGATGAATCTGTCACTCTTAGGGATATCTTACTCAAATATCTACTCAAGTAGATAATTATCTCACATATCCATGAAGTAGCAAGAAAGACATTTAAAACTCTCCACAATCCCTAGTTCACCCCTACTATGCAGGTTCCCTTTATAACCCAGGAGTTTCTGACTAAAATTTTTCAACAGTGTCTGCACAATGCCAGGGAGCACCATCCACACAGCACTCTCTAAGGAAGGTGCCTTTAGATCTGTGAAAGGTGTTTCTGGACTCTTATCTTCACCCCTGCCTAGTGACGTGACCCTTGGCTGGCTAGTTAACAACTCTGATTCTGTTTCCTACTCTGTAGAGATAATAAATTGTATTTCGAAGGGATGCATTCATTCCAAGTAAGATAACGTATGTAGAGACATTTATGAAGGGTAGACTACCGACAGCAGTCTATTTTCTAAAACATCACAAGCTGTCATATTTCAAAGTAAAGTGAACACTGGAATGTACAACTTGTGACCTGAATATAAGGTGATAAGAAAAGAGTTTTTCAAATTAGGGAGAATGTAACCTACTAAAGATGAAAGGGGTTCACACAATAAAGGGGTCAGTCTAGAGTGATCCAAGAAACACCATTTTTTAACTTTCAGAATTATCTAATATGAAGGAAGGAAGACAAATAAGAGTACTAATTCATTAAACTGTGTTGACACAACTGTTATCCAAGATTCACAACTGTTTTAATAAAACAGATTGCATTCATTAGGGACATACAGGCTGCCAGCAAATTACAACATGCTCAATACAAACTTTTTTGTTCTTCTAAGGAATGTAGAAACAGCCAATATTTAACCCAATAAATTATTTAGTTCCTTAGTCAAAAAATAATTAGACAATAAACTATGCCCTAGGAATTATAGATTCTCAGAACTATGGAACTGAAATCCTCTAGTCTATTATCAGGTACTATACTTGGAAAAACTAAAATCTAAAGAAATAAAACAAACACCTAGAATCACAGGAGGCAATATTAGTTCTGGTGTCTGGTCTCATAATCTTATTCTTTTTTCAGATGACAAAAACACAGTCTAGTTTTTATCCACTAGGCATACTACCTGGTTAGTATTTGAAATACGGGTTTCCATCTCAGTGCTGCATCTTTAGGATTCACAAGGGGATAGAAGGTTATAGAAGATAGGGCCAGGGGCCAGTAGCCACAGCTGGGTATGACTTCTGAGAAATATGAGTATATTCCATGTGATTGAAGACCATGTAAGAGAAGGAGGTGCTCCTACAACATTGGGTTTCCTACACTCCTTCTCGCAGTGGACAAACGCAGAGAAGTACAATGCTTACGTACAGTCCTCTCAAAGAGTCACATGGGTACCAGTATGAATGCCACTGGAAATGCCAACCTCAGTGAATGTTTCATAACAGGAATAAGTCTGGCGGTAAGCCAGAAGAGAAAAACCACATCTAATGAAGAACAAATAAAAGCATCCTTTACTCGATAACTTTCTACTCACTAAAAACAGCCACAAGTGGTCCTAACACATTTTTACTATGCCCATATACCAAACTGATTAAGGATGGGGTTTTAAATCAGAATTAATTTATCATTTATCAGAGGCACGGGCATAGCAGGGGAGTATAGATCTCATTATATTTTCCAAATAGGTCAGTGTTTGATGCTTCCTTTCTACACTTGTCTTTCAGTTTTATGCAGTATGAAGTGGCCTCCTTAAAGAAAGCACACACCATCCATCATCTCATATGTTTGAGAACTAAACAGGGGAGCTACACTGTAAGATTGCCTTGATACATAAGATGTTCTGAGGTTTCTAAGAAATAACTATCCACAGGAACGATAATGAAGTCAGCAGTGTATTCTCAATGGAACATCTCATAGACAAATAGCAAAGCAGGCATGAGCATATGGATTGTTCTCACAGAGTAATGCACTGTATACTATAGTCATATGGAAGACAGGAGAGGCCAAGGAGAAGATGCAACATCCCTAATGAGACCGTCTCTTAGTATTTGATGACAGCAAAGTTGGCACAGTTAAAAAAATATTTTTCTAAATCAGAAAAGAGATCAGTGCAAAGACCATGGTTATAAAATATCTTCCCCAATTTGGAGTGAATGCAAGGTTTCCATTTTTAGCCTCTTGGGTTTCCTAAAACACTGGAAAGACAAATGTAGCCACCCTTAAATGGTTCTCTTTATTTTGAGTGCCAATGCTTGCCCCTTAATCCTGGCCTGGAATACCAATTCATCTTTGTGCACTGTTCCTGAATAAACAAGAATGGCCTTTGATAGACAGGTCTGAATGTGAAATGCCCTCCAGAGTGTGATGGAACACCTGGCCTCCAGTTGGTGGCACTGTTTTTGGAGATTGCAGTACCTTTTGGACATGGGCCTTACATTTAGGTGAATGGACAAGTTTGAAGGCTATATCTGCTTCCCAGATGTAGCTATTTTAGCCACTCTAATTGTCAATACATTTCTCCCACCAGTAAGGGACTGCATTCCTCTGAACTGTCAGCCACAATAAATCCTTTCTTCCTTAAGTTGTTTCAGTCAAGTGTTCTATTACAGTAATAAAAAAGAAAAAAAGACAATAAAAGACACCGAGGTCAATATCAGGAGGAATTTGAAAAATATCTTGAAAAGAAAAATAGGAGGGATGCGGACAAAGTTCTGCAATAGAATTATAGCAAAAGAAACAAAGAGATCAAACTGAAAAGCGTTTCAAATAAATAAAAAAAGATAGGCTTGTTCTCATAGTACACACCATTTTAATTAAGTAGAAATGTTTTCTAAAAATATCAGCTTTAGATGAAAGCACGGCTTTGCCCATCAATGTGGCATATCATAGCTACTTCCAAGCATTTTGATGCTTTTGTTTGGTTTTAATTATGTTGCTCAACAGCCGGCTTCTTATATGAAAATGAGTGTAAGGAAAGAGGACAATAAGTGCCCACTTACCTCCCATAATTTTGGATTGGCAGTTAATAAACTCTGGCTTCCTGTCTGTGAGGTACCTCTGGCAGGTATGGTGGAGGATCTGGAAGAAGGTGCACTTTTCTGAGGCCGTGCTAGCAACCCACTGGTCAAAGGCATTTTCAAACAACAAATCAAACTCTGCAGAATCCTGGAAAAGACAGTGGAATAACTACTGATCTTGACCTACACAAACTTTTGCTGTGAGCTCTGTCTCGTCAAAAGATGCATAAAAACTAAAACAAAGACCCACAAGATATGAACCATACATTTCTTCTCTACCAGGACCTAAATTCATAGAGAGTTTGCACATCTTTGTCAAGCAAATAAATCCAAACTGTACTGTATTTAGAGATGTCCCTTGGAAGCTAGTGCTGCAGGAGTTAAGATTTGTGTTAGCATTTTGACCATATAGCATCTACCTAATTACCAGAAAAAAAAAAGATTCCTCTAAGTTCTCAGCATTATGATTTGTTAATATTTTATACATGGATCAGAAAGAGCTTCCCTTTCTTACTTCAGTACTTCATTGATGTTTGGGGATATTGTGATGTGTATGCACAAAAGGAAATGGGTCCCTTGAGTAGATGCTTACATCATAACATATTTCTATAGGAATCCTAATTCATTATTTTAAACTGCTGTTAATTTATTGGCATTAGGAGGCAAATGAAATTCTGACAAGCCTGGGGTTCTCATATAGATACTCAGGGCCATGACTCATTGAACTCTGCTCTTTAGTGATAGACATTGCTGGATACAGCATCTTTCCATATGCATTCTCTTGGATTTCTCTATCAAACATGAAAGATTTATAATTTCCCCTAGGATAGTAACAGAGATGGGGTAGTTTTGGTCACACAACTGAAATAGCCTTGTAAGAATGACTCTACCTATCCTCACCACCACTGTGCTAAAGCAGAGTCATCATGTGAAGAGAATTCCTTGGCTCAGAATTCACTCACCCGATTAGGATCAATACCATTAACTTGGCGAAGCTGCTCAAGCATCCATTGGGATCTTCGGACAAACGATGTGGAGCCCTCAAACTGTTTGACCTTCGTGATAGATGCCTGTGTGGGTTTCTTGTTTGTCACTGCCAAAAAGAAAAAGGAAAATACACTTGGATTAGTGGGCAGGCATATTGGCTGATTTCCTCCTTCAGTGTTATTTTTATAGGACACCAAATATGCATGTGCCTGGAGAGAAGATGAAAGTTGTCTTTGGGGAGAGGTGAATGCAAGAGAAGAAGAAGTTATAACCTCCCCTCTCAATGCAGCTTTAATACAATTGTTGCTTCCTTTGTTATCACACAATTGAACTGAAGATATCTGAACTGAATAACATCAAGTAATTTAATAGAGGCTACAAGTGAACAATTACAGCTCTCGGAAAAAAGTGCACAGGGCAATCAGACACCAGGTAGGGCTCATTAGGAAGGCTGAATTTTAAGTGAGGGGAAGGTTACCAATTCCTTGGGGGTAGCTACCAGTCTTATTTCCAGTTTTATAGTTCATTGAAAATACTGAAGCACAGTAATAGACTTGACTTTATAGCATGACCCAGTTTGTATCTAGTTTGCATCTGATTAAGACTATCTGCCTGGCATCCTGGGCACAGTTCCAACATGAATTCTTTTATTCACGAAACCTGGGGACCAGGACAATCACTCCACCTTGAGCAGTTCTAAATCACCTATGCTTCAGGCAGGTGGACAGCATCATCTCTCAGGAGATGTTAAGCACAGGTACTGGTAAACAGGCAGCCCAGACATTTCTAGGTTTGCTTATTTTGGGATTTTTAGGTTCAAGGATGGTAGAGGAGGTAATTACATATGTTGACAAGCCTTTCTGATGAGCTATGGAACTATATGTGCAGAAGTCAGTGAGAGTAAATGGCAAAGCCATGAATGCCTAGGAAAAACTAAACACCACGGCTGCGATGCATTTGATCCCAGTCACTGCCGTTAGGGAGAGTGTGCATCTGGGGAATATTTCCCCCTTGTTTCTAACAACTATACAGACACTTAGCAGGTGGCAAAAAGAGTTTCCAGACATAAGGGAGAGAAAGAAATTGCTCTAATAGTTAGTGACAAGAAGCCTCTATAGGGCTGCAGAGATGGCTCACAAGTGAAGAGCACTTGTTTCTCTAGCACAGGTCATGAGTTTGGTTCCTAGTACCCATGTAGGGAGGCTCATAATTACCTGTAACGTTAGCTCTAGTAATGGAGAGAGACAGACAGATAGACAAATAGACAGACAGACAGACAGACAGACACACACACACACACACACACACACACACACACACACATTTTAAACAGAAACCTCTATGGTTCAGGTATCCTAAAGCTTATTACTGAAATAGAAAAAAACCTAAGAAAGAAGACAAAGGGGTCACTCTGCCATTAGCTGTGGTGAGCATCTCCAAGTCACAGTATGACTTTTATGGCCTTAGAACAATCTTTCTTTGTCCCTAACCTGAATTTAGCCAATGCTTTACTTGTTATTCATTACTTCAGATATATCTGGATACAAGACTCTGAACACTTTATCTTAATTGCATTTAATTTTGTGGTTAGAAAGCCATCATTCCCTCAGTACCCCAATTACAAGAAGTGCTATAGACTCTGATCACAAATAGCCTTTCACAACATTCTCTAGCTCCATGGTTCTCAACCTGTGAGTCATGACCCCTTTGGGAGTTGAAGGACCCTTTCTCAGGGGTTTCCTAAGACCACCAGAAAACACAAATATTTATACAATGATTCATGAAGTAGAAAAGTTACTGTAGTGAGGTAGCAACAACAGCATTTTAAGGTTCTAGGTCATCACAACATGAGGGTTGCAGCACCAGAAAAATTGAGAATCAGTGCTCTAGATTCTTGAAACCAGTGGGAATGACAGTTTTTCTACACACACACACACACACACACACACACACACACACACACACACACACACA